GAAATGTATTTGAAAATTTTAACAATAAAGAACAGATGCTTTGGAGGTCATTACTTTTGGTGAGCAATCCCTTCATTACCACGACTATAACGAACTGAAACCCTAAATTCTTCATTAATCACAACAGCAAAATGATATGAAATCCGGTTGTGAAATCATAAACTACATCTAAAACCAAGAGAAGAAAAACAGGAAATGTGAGTCACGCAGGGTAGGCAGGGTGATCGCGAGTTGAGTCAAGCAGGGTAGGAAGGGTGAAATCATAAACTACATCTAAACCAAGAGGGGCAAGTTGGGGCCTCGATATATTGGACCTTTCAGGGTGATCGCGAGGGTAGGCAGGGTAGCCTACCGTTTGGAGTTACCTGCGGAGTTGGGTCAAATTCACGACACTTTTCACGTGTCGCAGTTGAGAAAGTGTATAGACGACGAGTCGGCAGTGATACCATTAGAGGATATTCAGGTGGATGTAGGCCTGAACTATGTTGAGAGACCGGTGGCAATTAGGCATCGGAAGGTCAAGGTTTTGAGGAACAAGGAAGTGCCTCTGGTTCAGGTGCAGTGACAGCATAGGAAGGGGTCAGAGCTGACTTGGGAGCCGGAGCGCGAGATGCGTGAGCAGCATCCATAGTTGTTTGCAAAATGAGACTTCGAAGGCGAAGTCTGATTCTAGTGGGGGAGAATTGTAACATCCGGAATCCCAGGTATATTATTCTAATATTTTATTTTTGGAATTTGTGAAGGAAATCGGCGAGTTGATGCTTAGACTCGCCGACTAGGGTCGCGAGTTATCATCCGGGTTCGCATTTGGACTCGGCGAGTCCATGAGTGGACTCGACGAGTCCACGCTGTTTAATGAAACCCTAATCCTCCGGGGTTGGAGCCTATTTAAGGGCACTCTTAGCCTTCCATTGTGGCTACCAGTCCCTTGAGAGCACCCTAAGTGAGCTAGATCGTTTGGGAGGAAGGATGAGCCATAATTAATCTTTCTATCTTTGGTTTAGCAAGAAGAAGGTGACCAAGAGGAAGAGGAGGCTGAAGGAGGTGTGATTATAGGGGTTTCAGAGTCCAGAGACTTCAACTTGAGGTATTTATTCGGACCTTCTTCAGTTTTGGTATTGATTCTTAGAGTTAGGGTTTTCTAACCTCTTTTAAGGATGATTATGTGGAGCAATTGGTCCCTTATCGAGTTTATGCTTTGGATCTAGACTCAAAGAGGTCCAGAGACCTTAACCCTTGGGGTTTTATGAGTTATCTTGGGAGTTATGAGCTTAGGATGCCATTTTTAGAGCTAAATTTACCAAATGATACCATCTAGATGATATATGAGTGTCAAGGTCTGGACTTTACATGATTATTATGCTTGGGAAGGACAGATCTATGGATTAGAGGAACAGATCTGACCTCAGGAGGTTAATAGAGTTTGTGCATGGCATGTACTCGCCGAGTTGTTCTTGAGACTCGGCGAGTTGAGTCGGGGTAGCCCCGCGATTCTTACATGGGGACTCGTCGAGTAAAGGAGGGACTCGACGTGTTAAATGGGACTAAAGAGTTAAGTGGACACAGGTGGACTCGCCGAGTTGCCTAAGTGCACTCGCCGAGTCGGTTCAAAGTTTGACTGTTGACTTTGGTTAACTTTTAGGGTTTGGTCAACAATGAGGGCCTTTGAGCCAAAGGAGGGGTAAAATGGTCTTTTACCCTTTTAAGGGTGCTTAGAGAGAGTAAAGTCTAGTTCTGAGAGTTATATTTATGAGAGTATTACTTTATGTGTTTAGGCGGAGGCTAGATCGTATTTCTAACGAGTTAGTGATTTACCGGGACATCTAAGGTGAGTCTTCTCACTATACTTTACATTGAGTGGTAATTAGAGTTATGTGCTAGAGTTATCGTATGCTATTATGTGATGTGTTATACTGCATTGTTTCTATGTGGTTTATATAAGAGTATATCAGAGGGTCCACAGAGTTAGGGCCCACGGGCCCACAGAGTTATAACCTCGAGTGGCTAGTATGTGTTATGTATGGTATTTTGGGGAACTCACTAAGCTTTACGCTTACAGTGTTATGTGTTATATGTTTCAGGTACCAATGATGATCGCGGGAAGGCGCCGACATGAGTCGTACACACGCATGGATTTTTATGTATTTGATCTTGGGAAATATTTTTGTGAACCAAAGTATTGATACAATGGGATTTTGTTTTTAATGTGTTCGATAAAATGTGTTTAAAAATGTGAAAATTTGTTTTAAATTTTACGGTGTTACAATTTGGTATCAGAGCCTTGGTTTGAGGGATTCGGATGCATCTTCGGGCGTATCTGAACTCAAACTGAGGAGTTCAGGAAAAAAAATTGATGATAAAGTAAATTTTTTTTTTTTATGAAAAGGATTAAAAAGAGTTTTGAAACAGACAGAGCAGAACTGTGTGTACGATCAGCCGGCGCCCGAACGGTGATTCAAAATACACTTACAATAAGTTGTAAAAGAAATGTTATGCTATATGAATCATATTATGCATGCTAGAGTAAGACTAGGTATTCTTATTTGGACTATAGTGGCCTTATATATGATGCCTTAGTCTAGGGATTTTGGTATTAAGAATGCTTGAGAGTGTTGAGATAGAAGCAAGGAGCTTATGAGAGATTTGCTAGTGAGTAGCACATGATTAGAGAGAATAGTGTACTTGGGATTTGGGGCTCTGGGAGGAGGACTTGGTGTGAATGCTGAGTCGGTGTGGTCGGTAGTATTGGGCCCGTACTATCGAAGGCACCGGGTCAGTACGCAACCAAAGTAAAAATCCTTAGGGCACCAGGGATCAAGTAGGGTTGGGATATCGAGTGTGTGTACATCTGAGCAAATTACTGATATCTTAGGTTGTATTTCAGAGAGGCATCTTGGTAGGTGATATGTGTATTTTAATATATATTTTTATGCACTTTATCTTAATATTTTGGCCTTATTTATTCTATTTTAGAACTAAAAAGTACTCATAATGCTTTGAATTATGTTTTGCAGCTATTCGTTGTCGATAAAGCACAAAAGAAAAGACTGAAGCGGAAACCGGACTTCAAAGCTTAAACGAATTAAATTGCTGAATTAGAGGATTACGCCCCGCGTACCTTAAGGGTACGCCGCGCGTACAAACTTGCATCAGATAACTTCAATCGCGTAATTATCTTGAGTACGCACCGCGTAAACCTAAGTACGCCCAGCGTACTTAGGTCGGCTACAAAGACTATAAATGTCGATTTTCAGCTAACCAGGAAGGGGGATTCGACTTCTAACCTAATTTAGTCGACAATTAACTTCTGTTAAGCTGTTTTGAGGGTCTAGAAGGCGGCCGGAAGGCTGTTAAGCTAACGGGAGCAGAGATCTGGAGGATTGGAGAGCGGATACATGTCAGTAATCATATGGATTGCTAACGTGACCATGTTTAGCACTCCATTATGGTACTTTTTGTATTTAGTTTCTGATTTGGGTGTAAAAATCTTTTACTTTGTGTTTACGATTGAATGAAGCTTTGATTATTAGACTAATTGTTATATTAAATAATTTATTTGTGTTTAATTTATCTTGCCAAGCTTGTTTAAAGATCCTCATGTGTTAATGATGATTATTTGTTGTTAATTGTTAAGTGAATTGAGTTGTATGAACATCTGCTTGATTTGCTTGTCTCTTATGATTTTTGATGACCATCGAGATTATAAGACTAGAAATAACGAATGTGAAACTAGAATTAATTTGAGAATAAGTAAGTTAATGTGTGAGCCTTGTTTGATGACCATCAACAAGAGGTTAATTAAATGTCTAAATTAACTATATTTACAAGTCTTGCTTGATACGAACTGAACACTAGGAAGCATGTTAGTTTAATGAATTGATCACTGTTTGAATTGACTTGTTTGCTAAAGGATTAGTTATAGTGAACACGAATCTAATCATTTTAGGAATCGGTGAACATGAATAAATGAATCTGTGTATGCAATTGTCTATGTTTTTAAGGTGAAATTTGTCTAAACCAAAGTACCTGAAGAGATTTGTTTTCCTGTTAGTTTATCGAGAATGGTTAATTAATTATTAGTTTGAGATTTATTAAACTATTTCTTTTATTCTTTTCGTGTGACCTGTAACCTATAATCAAATATATTAAATTAATCCACCGTTCCCTGTGATCGACACCCGACTTACCTAAGCTATATTGTAATCTGACTAGGTACACTGCCTATAAGTGCATAGTTAGTCTAAGTTTGTTAGGTTATAAATATTAAAATTAATGGGTACTTTTGTGCACATCAAGTTTTTGGCGCCGTTGCCAGGAAACGGCTTTCAATTAATTTAGTTTACTTGATTATTCGTTATTTGTTTTTAGTTAGTTTTTATTTTTAGTTTGATTTTCGATGATATTATTTCACTTGTCGGGAAGGTTCTTGTTTTTATTTTGCAGGAATTTGGGATTGTACACATTGCTTGACTTTACTTTTTGCATGGGTTTCGAGAATGAAAGCGATTAGGGAATTCTTGACCTACTTAGCCTACTACTTTGTTGATTTGTCCAACTCAATCCATGAGGCGTAGTATAGCAAGGCGTATTGTGGTGGTTAAGTGGAAGACCGAGCTCTTGCTGTTCTTGACTAGTTAGGTCACTTCTTGTTCCACTTCTAGTTAAAGGTGCAAGGAAAACAAAGGAAATATTCTAACGGGTCCCGAAAGTGGGTGTTTTCGCAAACCAATTCTTGCATGCAAAGGTTTTTGATCAACCATTGTTGTTTGATCTTGACAAAGATAAGTGATTATGACATCTCAATTTTTTTTATCACTCATCGTGAAGTCATCATTAGCTGAAGGAATTAAAAAGAAAAAAAAATAATAATAAAGTTTTAAGTCCCTTGATTAAATGATTAAAAAGAAAAGGAAATTCAATTAAAAGAAAAAAAAGGAAATTTTAAACTTACGCCTTGCGTAAGTATGATTATGCCATGCGTAATACGACCCGAATCGCGAATGAACATTTCAGGGTGTTGGGGTTACGCCCCGCGTACCCTTGTGTTACGCCCCGCGTACATCAGCGACCAGGTATATCTTTTGACCCTTTGACTTCCCTGTTATTTTCCTTACCCAGTTCCTTTCTCGCATACGCTGTGAACGGCAACTTTATCCAAGATCCCCGATTATTTTTTGTTTCTTGTTAAAACCAACACACAAGTAAGTATTTCGGATACTCAATAGCTTAGATTTATGTTTTATTTGATGAAATAAGCTGCATTTAACTTTTGTTCGAATTCTAGGGTTCATAGTGTTCTTGATTTAGGGCCAATTTCGCACATGCATGTGTTGATTAGAGATTGAATGGACCGATTTCGGTTAATAAACTAAACCCTAGGACCTAATTTGGTCTAAATTCCGTCCCACGCCCATCGATTTGAGCTTGGGGTCGTACGCAAACCGTACCCCTGTGACTTCGAGTTCTTGACTGACTTCGATTTTTGACCGTTATGCATGTTTCCCTTATAAATGTTTTCTAATAGACAAAGAATTTACAGGGATTGATTCATATTTTTAGGGAGGTCCCGATTTTTCTTTTACTGCCTTTGGACCACTCGATTTGAACTTGTGTGTTGCCCATGTTGTGTTTATTTGATGTGGGTTATGATTTTTGCACAAGTAAAGGGACCGACACAGACCTGTGAAGCCTGGACGTACGCCCATCGTACGCTGGATGTACGCCCAGCGTACTGCCCCTATCCAGCTCCATTTTTTTTTGGTTTAAAAATCTATTAATGTTACCATATTTTGTTTGGTTTTGTGTTTTTGTTTATTTGTGCAGATTATGGCTCGAAGGACGCAAAGGACCAACCCACCCGAGGATGTGACCGATCATCGTTTTTTACAATTTCCGCAAACACTGAACGATGCTACCCGGGCGCGTTATGTAACCAACTTGAGCTTGCTTCTCACAAAGGAGATTGATATTGCACCCTCATTCGACTGGGAGTTGGCTACCAGGACTGGACTTGCTGCATTGATCCAGGAATTTTCGCAATACACACACTCGGACGCGAGTGGTGTGGAATTGTTTGTGTGTCAGGGATGGGCGCATTTGTTCAGGATCCAGGAGCCTGTATATCGGGAGTTTTTGCTGGAGTTCTATGCTACAGTTTCCTATGATCCTAGGAAGGCACTCGATGACAGGATGGCCTTTGCTTTCAGACTGGGAGGAGTGAGCCGGGAATGCAACGTGATAGAGCTTGCTACTCGGGTGGGTATTTACACAGCCGATGAGACGAGGAGTATCCACTTCCCGACATTTCTTGCTGACTGTCTCACGGATCGGCCAGAAGACTATAACGATAACACTTTTTGGGCCGAGATTACAGGAGGAATTTATACACCATCTATCGCTCGAGGGGGGATGATTCGGTCTACTACATACCGAATATTGCACCGGTTGATTTCTATGTCTCTCACGCATCACAAGAATAGTGAGAGAGTGCCTTCGACGGACCTGTATTTCCTATGGGCACTAGTTACTCCAGGGAGGAACTTGAACCTTCCCGTCGCGTTAGCTGCATATTTGGGACGGAGGGCCAGGGGACTTCGGGGAGATAGCCCGATATGCGGAGGGCAGTTTATCACGCGGTTAGCTCGGTCATATCAGTTGCTGACGCGTGAGATCACAAGATCGATGGTGTTTCACGACATGAGGCCGATGAGTCTTCAGCTATTGGAGTCGATGCGCGTATTAGAGCGGGGTGGAGATGGTGCTTTGAGGGTTCGAGTAGATGATGTGGCAGATGAGGAGGGTGCTGCCGAGCCACAGCCGAGACGGGTCCAACGACGTAGACCTGCTCCTCGGGGAGCGCAACGGGGACCTGAGCGGGAGATTAATATGCGCTACCTGGCTCAGGGCATTGACCGTCTTAGCGAGTATGTTGCACATGTGGACGCGCAACAGCGGTGGCAAGGGAATGCATTGAATGCATTCTTTGCCCACCAGGGGTTTCAGTATTCGGTTCCCTTTCCACCACGATTCCAGTCACGATTTGATGGGGCCGGTACTTCTGGGACACAGCCACATGATGATGGAGATGACGAGTGATCCTTTTGATTTTGTTTATTTGTTTTGTGTTATATTTAGTTTAGTAGTATTTGGTCTGTAATTAAACTTTGATTTAGTTTGTTTTACTTTTGTTTTCCATGTTGATGCTCTATGGTTGTTTAGATTTCTACAGAATATTCGCCCTTAGGAAGCTGGCAGTAAGTTCAGCAGCTAGGTCCGACTGTTGCTAGAGAGAGCCATGTGAGAGTTCGAAGATTATAGTCAAGACCCACAATTTGTCATAAGTGTGGGGTGCATCTTTATTAGAGTTGTATTTCGACGCGAGGAAGAAGTATCGTTCCGACTGCCACGACGTGGTTGACACTTTCCCACGTCATGGTTATTATACATTGCATCTAATTGCAATATTTTGCACCACATTTTTGAAGATGGCGGTCTTGATTTTATTTTTCGACAAATTCAGAAGCAGCAGTTCCAGTTTTCAGTCTTTCGGCGATATTTGAAGCAACTTGTAGCAGCCCCATTCGATCTCGCCACAACTACCCAGGGGAGTCTGTTCCTTTTTCTCCCTTTTTATGTTCTTAATTTGTTTTAGCATACAATGAGGGCATTGTATGAAATAAGTGTGGGGTAGGGGGTCGGTAAAGTAAATTATAAAAATGAAATAATAGTTGGAAATTGCTAGATTTAGGGAAATTTAAAAATTTAAAAGAAAACTTGAAATAATAGTTTAATTTAGAAAAATCTAGTGATAATTTAAAATTTTGCTAATATTGTATGAGATGATCCGATGAGTACTCAAATGTTTAGTTGAGCCAATATACGTTATAGTGCATTTGTGGCTTCCCTTATTTTAGTGAAATCATGGAACAAAAACATAACCCCGCTCGGTTTGAAGGATGCAATATGTTTAGCAGCCTAAACCTGAAATGTATCCAGGAAAATTATTATCATTAACTAATAAAGGTTGAGGTTGAGCGCCTCTGCTTAAGCATGTAGGTTTTGAGTGAAAAAAGAGAGGTACATGTAAAAAAAAAAAGAAGAGAGAATTACGAAAAAGTTTGAAGAATTTTGGAGCAAATAAAGTGAAGATGAAAAGATTAAAATTCCAAGAAATTCAAAAAGTTGAAGATACCAAGAAATCAAATCAAATAAGGTGGAGAATTCAAAGAAATCAAAGATCAAATTGTTAAGAAAGTGAAGAATTCCAAAAGAGCTCCATAGTGGTATCGAAAAGTTGTAATTCTAGATTATGTATGCTTAGGTTGCTCAACTAAAAATACCTTGAGGTTAGGAGGTTTTCTGCGGATGGATTCGGAGGGTTGCATAAAATGAGCATTGTTCGGAAAAAGTGGGCGAGTGTTTATGAAGATTGTGAGTATTTAAAATATGGGGGGGTACTTTAGGAAAATTTTAGACACAAATGTACGCATTGAGGTCTTGGCATAATGGCTGAGTTTTAATTGGATTGTTTAGTGCAATATTGGTAAAATAAAAGTAAATTTGCTTGGGGGCAAGCAAAGGCTAAGTGTGGGGTATTTTGATATGTGTATTTTTATATATATTTTTATGCACTTTATCTTAATATTTTGGCCTTATTTATTCTATTTTAGAACTAAAAAGTACTCATAATGCTTTGAATTATGTTTTGCAGCTATTCGTTGTCGATAAAGCACAAAAGAAAAGACTGAAGTGGAAACTGGACTTCAAAGCTTAAAGGAATTAAACTAAAAAGTACTCATAATGCTTTGAATTATGTTTTGCAGCTATTCGTTGTCGATAAAGCACAAAAGAAAAGACTGAAGCGGAAACCGGACTTCAAAGCTTAAAGGAATTAAATTGCTGAATTATAGGATTACGCCCCGCGTACCTTAAGGGTACGCCCCGCGTACAGACTTGCATCAGATAACTTCAATCGCGTAATTATCTTGAGTACGCACCGCGTAAACCTAAGTACGCCCAGCGTACTTAGGTCGGCTACAAAGACTATAAATGTCGATTTTCAGCTAACCAGGAAGGGGGATTCGACTTCTAACCTAATTTAGTCGACAATTAACTTCTGTTAAGCTGTTTTGAGGGTCTAGAAGGCGGCCGGAAGGCTGTTAAGCTAACGGGAGCAGAGATCTGGAGGATTGGAGAGCGGATACATGTCGGTAATCATATGGATTGCTAACGTGACCATGTTTAGCACTCCATTATGGTACTTTTTGTATTTAGTTTCTGATTTGGGTGTAAAAATCTTTTACTTTGTGTTTACGATTGAATGAAGCTTTGATTATTAGACTAATTGTTATATTAAATAATTTATTTGTGTTTAATTTATCTTGCCAAGCTTGTTTAAAGATCCTCATGTGTTAATGATGATTATTTGTTGTTAATTGTTAAGTGAATTGAGTTGTATGAACATCTGCTTGATTTGCTTGTCTCTTATGATTTTTGATGACCATCGAGATTATAAGACTAGAAATAACGAATGTAAAACTAGAATTAATTTGAGAATAAGTAAGTTAATGTGTGAGCCTTGTTTGATGACCATCAACAAGAGGTTAATTAAATGTCTAAATTAACTATATTTACAAGTCTTGCTTGATACGAACTGAACACTAGGAAGCATGTTAGTTTAATCAATTGATCACTGTTTGAATTGACTTGTTTGCTAAAGGATTAGTTATAGTGAACACGAATCTAATCATTTTAGGAATCGGTGAACATGAATAAATGAATTTGTGTATGCAATTGTCTATGTTTTTAAGGTGGAATTTGTCTAAACCAAAGTACCTGAAGAGATTTGTTTTCCTGTTAGTTTATCAAGAATGGTTAATTAATTATTAGTTTGAGATTTATTAAACTATTTCTTTTATTCTTTTCGTGTGACCTGTAACCTATAATCAAATATATTAAATTAATCCACCGTTCCCTGTGATCGACACCCGACTTACCTAAGCTATACTGTAATCTGACTAGGTACACTGCCTATAAGTGCATAGTTAGTCTAAGTTTGTTAGGTTATAAATATTAAAATTAATGGGTACTTTTGTGCACATCATTAGGGACACGTCATAGACCAGGGACCAGTGGAGGGGGTGTGAGCGACGAGGAGCTCCGCCAAATGATTCATGATGAGGTGGCTGTTGCCATCCGCGATGAGATTCCAGAGATGTTCGGGTCTATTAAGACCACCCTGATAGAGACATTTGATGAGAGATACGCTACTCTTTCTGAGGCTGTTGTTGTTGCGAATAGACTGCATGGTGGTGATGCGTTGTTGTTCCGGGAGTTCAGCAACACAAAACCACCGGTGTTTGATGGGACCCAGGATCCGATTTCAGCGATGAGGTGGATATCAGACATGGATGGATTTTTCTTTACTTGCTCATCTCCTGAGCATTTGAGGGTCCGGTTCGTGCTGAACCAGCTTCGCTTGGGAGCGAAGGACTGGTGGAAGTTTGTGACAACGCATTATTCGCTTGCTGAGCTTGTTATAGTGACTTGGGAGAGGTTCACTGCTATGTTCCAAGATGAGTATGTTCCCCAGGTGGAAAGTGAACGTTTGGCTCAAAAGTTTTTGACCCTCAAGCAGGGTACTGATTTTGTTACTGTGATTACGAGGAAGTTCCATGAGCGGGCGATGTTCTGCCCAGAGCACGTGTCCTACGAGCAGGCACGTATGAGCCGCTACCTGAGCATTTTGAGGAGGGATATACGGGAGTTCGTGGCAAACTCGACATATCGAACATTTGCTGAGCTTCAGGCAAATTCCCGGAAGAGGGAGATAGAGCTGGAGACCCAGGCTAGGGAGGAGGCTGAGTCTCAAGCGAGGGATCGGCGGCCGACACAGTCTCAAGGGGTTTGCAAAGCGGGGTCTTGCTACGAATGTGGCAAGGAGGGGCATATGGCCAGGGATTGCCCCAAGGGGTTTGCAATATGCTTTCACTGCAACCAGACCGGACACCGCAAGGCAGAGTGTCCACAGTTACGAGGGACTACCAGGGAGCACCTCAGGGATCTGCCCCTGCTGTTATCAGAGCTACTGTGAGCCGGCCAGTGAAGGCCGAGGTACCGAAGGCGCGAGGGAGAGCCTTCCAGTTGACTGCGGAGGAGGTTCGCGCAGCACCCGGTATCGTGGCTGGTATGTATTCTTTCGTATATTTACTTTTATGTTGAGATATTGTGCTTATATTATGATATGCGTAGGTACTTTTCTTGTGAATTTTGTACCTGCCTTGGTGTTATTTGACTCGGGTGCGAGTCGGCCTTTTGTATCTTTGGCTTTTAGTCGGCACATCAGTATTAGTCGAGAGGTGATGAGTCGACCTCTGAGAGTTTCCATAGCTGACGAGAGAGCGGTGTATGCCACCGAGGTGATTCTTGGATGTGTACTCGAGATTTTTGGCATCAAGTTCCCGATTGATCTAGTTCCTATTGCGATGGGAGATGTCTGTGTCATCGTGGGCATGGACTGGTTGAGCAAGTTTGGAGCGGTTATCGACTGCGAGAGACAGATGGTGACCATACAGGATCTTAGTGGGGGAGTTCTTACCGTGTACGACGAGGGTACGCGTTCTGGGTCGGCATTTTGTTCAGCCGCTAGATCGAGACAGATTCTACAGCAAGGCTGTAAGGGGTTTGTAGCATATGTGACGGATATGAGGGTTGATTTAGAGAGTCCGAAGTCAGTTGATGAGGTTCCGATAGTGCATGAGTTCCCGGATGTATTTCCAGAAGAGTTACCGGGTGTGCCTCCCGAGAGGCAGGTTGAGTTCAGCATCGATTTGGTTCCGGGAGCTGCACCTATCGCCAAGGCACCTTATCGCCTTGCGCCTCCAGAGATGCAGGAGTTATCCGCGCAGCTTCAGGAGCTGCTAGGGAAGGGATTTATCCGGCCAAGCAGTTCGCCATGGGGAGCGCCTATCCTTTTTGTTAAGAATAAGGATGGCTCACATCGAATGTGTATTGATTACAGGGAATTGAACAAGCTGACGGTCAAGAACCGTTACCCGTTGCCGAGGATCGATGATTTGTTCGATCAGTTATAGGGAGCATCTTGGTTTTCCAAGATCGATTTGAGGTCGGGTTATCATCAGGTGAGGGTGCGAGATAAGGACATCCAGAAGACAACATTCAGGACTCGTTATGGGCATTACGAGTTCTTGGTGATGCCTTTCGGGCTCACTAACGCACCGGCGGTGTTCATGGACCTCATGAACAAAGTATGTAGGCCGATTTTGGATCGCTCGGTGATCGTGTTCATTGACGACATATTGGTGTATTCGAGATCGAAAGAACAACATGAGGAACATCTAAGAGAAATCCTCGGAGTTTTGAGATCGAAGAGGCTTTACGCCAAATTCTCCAAGTGTGATTTTTGGTTACGAGAGGTCCAGTTCCTAGGGCATCTTGTTAACCAGAAAGTGATTTTGGTCGATCCGGTCAAGATTGAGGCAGTGATGAGTTGGGAGGTGCCGAGGTCACCTACAGAGATCAGGAGTTTCCTAGGATTGGTAGGCTATTATCGGAGATTTATCAGGAATTTCTCCAAGATCATCGTGCCACTCACCAAGTTGACTCGGAAGGGTGTTGCTTTCTCATGGGGCCCAGAGCAGCAGGCCTCCTTTGAGACTCTTCGTCAGTTTTTATGCGAAGCCCCGGTGTTAGCCCTTCCGGAAGGAATGGAGGACTTCATGGTATAGTGTGATGCGTCGATATCAGGGTTGGGAGCGGTGCTTATGCAGAGGGGGCACGTGATAGCATATGCATCGAGGCAGCTGAAGCCTCATGAGGCAAGGTATCCCACCCACAATTTAGAGTTGGGGGCAGTGGTGTTCGCCCTCAAGATCTAGCGTCACTATCTGTATGGGGTCCGGTGTACCATATACACGGATCATAAGAGCCTAAAGTACTTGATGGATCAGCCCATCCTGAACATGCGGCAAAGGAGATGGTTGGATGTGGTGAAAGATTATGATTGTGAGATCCTGTACCACCCGGGTAAGGCTAACGTGGTAGCCGATGCCCTGAGCTGTAGGATGGAGAGCATCCCAATGCGAGATGTTTGTATGAGATTGACTGTGATGACTCCAGTGTTGGACACCATTCGAGGGGCCCAGGCCGAGGCTGTGAGACCAGAAAACCAAAAGAGGGAGCGAGTTATCAGGCAAGTATCGGAGTTCGTTATCGATAGTCGGGGACTTATGACACTTCAGGGTCGGATTTGGGTACCGTTTGTGAGCGGGACGCGTACCATTTTGATGGAAAAGGCACATCGATCGAAGTTCTCGATCCATCCCGAGGCCACTAAGATGTATCTGGACCTAAATAAGGAGTATTGGTGGCCCTGTATGAAGAGGGATGTTGCATGGTTCGTTGAGAGGTGCCTAACCTGTCGCCGGGTAAAGGCCGAGCACTAGAGACCGCATGGTAAGTTGCATCCGTTAGAGGTTCCCGAGTGGAAGTGGGAACATATTACTATGGACTTTATCACCAAATTGCCAAGGACTGCGAGGGGCGTCGATGCAATTTGGGTGATTGTAGATTGGTTGACGAAGAGCGCTCACTTCATTGCTATTAGCGAGAACTCTTCTGCGGAGAGGCTGGCAGAGATGTATCTGAGAGAGGTGGTCTCGCGGCATGGAGTTTTGGTCTCGATAGTCTCGGATCGAGATGTGCGTTTCACTTCCAGGTTCTGGAAGAAATTTCATGAGGAGTTGGGTACGCGGTTGCATTTTAGTACCACATATCACCCACAGACTGACGGGCAGAGCGAGCGGACAATTCAGACGGTCGAGGACATGCTCCGAGCATGTGTTTTGGATTTTGGCGGGAGTTGGGA